AATATTTCTTCAAAATTCACCAAAAACACCATCTACATTTCTATTCACAACTCACTGTTTAGATTTTTGTATTTATTATCTACTGCCTCAATGCTTCTTTATTTTGTATATGTTATGATAGTCTAAATGTTAAGATAGATCCAGGAGGACTGTATGTAGCTAAGCGAGTCCGAACATAACAAATGTCTAAGTTCTGATCAACATCCTGTAACTTCGATCTGAAGTTAATAAAAATATATAATCTGAAGTTAATAATAATATGTAATCCACAGTGATTATAATTCAATAAATCGAAACCATGAATTTTAAACATACCTTCTTAACAAGAATAAAACAATACACTTGATAACGACTAGTGAAATCTTGTGGAAACGTAGTCGTGTTTAAGGAATAAAGTGATTGTAAACCATAATGTCTCATATTTTATGAAATACTCACTTATGATTGATTTACTTCCTCATGTAAAAAGTTCGCTAATATGTTGTTTTGGATTTCGGGTTTTGTAATGCGGATCGAATCGTTAGTACTTGATTTATTAAGTCGTGCCCTATTGTAACTGCTACCAAGTTTTAGATCTAGTTCAGGTTTCATTGACTCTCTAGAAAACTAACTGTTTATTTTAGCCAGAGTTTCTTCACAATAAAAGACAATCAACCCCAAGTTGATTTGTTCAAGGAAATTAGATCCGTGTCCAATTTGTGGATGGTCACACGGCAGGCAGATTTATTATAATTATGACAGCTTTGTCAATTCAAAATGGCCAGTCTGACACAGGCACGTTGATGAGATTTTGTATTTTTTGATTTTGTCTTGGCTGAATCATCTTGTTTGCTTTGAAAATATTTCTGATAAAAGCCTGCTGATAGTTCTTTTGCTGGGTAATTGCATTTCATTTTTTATAGTATCCTTATTAGGAAAGCCTATTTTCACTTTTACAAGATTTGTGTAAAATTTAAAATCTGAAGTTTAAAACATAACTTTCTTTTTATTTGGAAAATGGCAAAAGTATTTTTTGTTGTAAGAATGTACTTAAATATTTATATAATTTTCTGAAAATCATTCTGTTCAGGTAAATCGTGTTTTTAACACTGAAAGTTGCGTAATTCTCAAAGCCTATGTTTCATGATACAGGTTTTATCTTGAGATGATTATTGATATATCAGAAGAACATTGACTCTTATATTTTCAGCTATTTCAGCTAAAGAAATGATACTACCACAGATAGTATTACAGAGACATCCTTAGTTAACATATCTAATTATCTTAACCATTAACTTGCACCTAGGCCAGTGCTTTCATCAGACTATGTTCTCATCACCATCTAGATCAGATAAAGAAGGGTTCAAAAGACTCTTTTACCACATCAACTAAGTCTCTTTGAATCTTTAGTCAGACTTGACTGGCTGACGTTTTATAGTCCCAGTTAGTAAATTTGACGTCTGTCATGGTTTTCCCATAAGAATTAACTTTTTGAAACAAAGGACATCACATGAGCAAAAATGCCAAATTTTATGGAAATGTTTATGGATGGAATTTTAATGAAGTCCAACCCAATCTAATCATAGAATACAATAACTGAGGAAGAAAAATATTAACAAAATGACACAGAGACTAGGGACATTGAAACTGAGGCTAGAGACAGCTCGGGACAATGAAATAGGGCCAGATATTTTACGAGTATTTTATGATGTTAAACCACAAGAGACAAGGTTAAGATAAGAGTTCTATTCTCAGATTAAATCTGAAAACAATATCGTTGAACATTACGCTGGTTTTATGACCCACATGTCTTTAGATCTGAACCAATTTATGATCCAATCAAATGTCTTATCTTTCCAACTGATTTAAGTTGGAGACTGGAATGACAAACGAGTGAATTTATTGGTGAAGTAAGGTGAAGAATAAAGATTGGTTTGAGACAATAGTCAACTCTTATCATTTCATCATAGGAATTGATTTCATTACTCTTTTCCTATCTGACTAAACTGCAGATATGTTTTATTTCGTCGTTTTCCTGAAGGCAACTCCTTTTCAGCTATTATTTTGCATCGCATTGCGTTGGTTCTTTACGTATTGTGATTTGCTTAGTTACAAATGGTGGCTGTGGGTTCTAATCTCGATCAAACTACCAACTACTACGACCACCAATAACTACCATCTGATGGAAGCTAACGTTAACTTGTCATCTACCTACCTACCTCTAATCTCGATCTGCGTCAGTTTCTTTCTCTTTCTCAGGATACCTGGATGTTTTATTTTTATTATATTTTTTTTTGATTTTTTTTTGTGTAGATCAGATTATTCAACTGAGAAATTTAGGAGTAACAGCCGCGACTATAATAATGTTATAGATAATTTATTTTACATCCCTCACAGCTATAAATATTGACATGCATTGTCGTCTGTCCGTCAGTTCCCTATTTTAGATCACTATCTATAATTATTTTTTATAATTGATCATGTACTTATTCAACACTGATCTCATTTACATATCATTTGCATATCAGTTGCATATTAATTAACTTACTTATTGTTTACTGTTGTAAATGAGTTTTTATTAAATAATATTTGTCAGACTGACATCTTCACAATGTCAAGGTCTTACAAACTTGACTGCAATAGCCACCTTACTTTTAACACAGAATGCAATGATTTGTATTGTATTATGCATCTAAATTTCTGTATTTACAAACTTCTGTGTTACAGGAAATGTGGTTATTGCAGTCAAGGTTTAAGAAGCAGTTCATAATACCTTGACATTGTAAAGGTGGGCTGACATGTGATTGACAACTATAATCGGAACAGATATTTGTCCACATAAAAAAAAACTGTGGATGGATCTTTAACGTGCACAGCCTATAGCACACAGGGCTGTGGTTTATTTTCCCATCTAAATGACTAGATGCTTTTTTCATATCAGCCCCTCTGATCTGCATCACTGAGTTGAAAAAGTTCATCTTGACTTTTGCTGGGGATAGAACCCTGAACCCTAGTTTAGGAGTAAGGCTTTAACTCTCTGAGTCACCGTGGCCCCTCTAGTAAGAACATCAAATATCAATCTGTATTAATGTAACGTTATTATCAGATATCAAAACATATGTTACATGAATAATTTAAAAATTGATTAAAAATTGAAACAATATAGTTAAAACATATAATGAATGTTTATAACCATATTTATAACCATGGTGTATTGAATTATATTGTCATGTTAACATTACACATTACAGTTGATTAGAACATCAAACACCCATGATATGGACATTGCACACCCACAATATGGTAACATTATGGTGTTTAGAACATCACGCTCCCACAATATGGTAACATTATAGTGTTTAGGACATTGCAAGTAAACTATTTGATTAATTGGTGTTTCTAATGAATTATCACGTATTTTTAATCATAAGAAATGTTCTTATTTCATATAATTAAAAGTTTTAACCAATCATAAATATCCATGTATGTACAGTCTGAAAAATAAAAAAATAAGACTTTTTGACTTTTCTTGATCGGTCACTCATTGGTAATTCTCTTCTAAGTAAATGATGAATTAGCGTGAGACAAACTGACATTTTTCCCATTCATTAAAACGCCTCTACTTTCTATTTATATAAGTATTAGCATTTTCATTTTCATAAAAGAAATAAAACCTATGTTGAGATAAATGAAAATAAATTAATCACTTAAAAGACATTATAATTTTTATACGCCCACATGAAATGGGGGGCCTATATTGCCGTCAATCCGTCCGTCCGTCCGTCCATCCACAATTGCTCGTAAACACTCTACAAGAGACAATTCTTGACAGATTTTGACAAAACTTGGTATGAGTGGATGAACCCTATTGAAAATCAGAAGAATCGAAAAATATTTAGTTATTTCCCTTGTTCTTGAAAACGTTCAATATTTAGCTCGCAAACACTCTAGAAGGGACAATACTTTGATTTTGACCAAAATTGGTGTGAGTGTTCGTAATCACCCAAGGATGAACCCTATTGAAAATCAGAAAAATTGAAAAATATTTAGTATGAGTTATTGCCCTTCAATTTTTAGCTTGTAAACACTCTAGAAGGCACAATTGGTGACAGATTTTGACGCAACTTGTTGAAATTGTTTATTATCACTCATGGATGAACTCTATCGAAAATCAAAAAAATCGAAATATGTTTCATAGGAGTTATTGACTTCGTTCTTGAAAACACTTTCAAATTTTAGCTCTTAAACACTAAACGGCATGATTCTGGCTGTATTTTGATAAAACTTGGTTTTATTATTCAGTACCGTGCTGAAGATTGAATATTGACCTTCTAGAGTTTTCACAAGCTAAAAATTGACTATGTTTGCAAGAACAAAGGCAATAACTCATACTTAATATATTATTCAGTATCGCCCCAAAGAGTTCAAAAGAAGTGTATGACTGAAGGTTGAATATTTCATACTGGTGATTGTTACTGTACTGCTAAATATTTTTATTCATAATCAAAGCTGCCAGTGGGCGTATATTACCTTGACTGGCAAGCTATCTTTAATATTCTAATATCACAGCAATATATCATGGCAATATAGATATCATTTCATATCAATAAATACATTTTAACAGAAACTCTTAACAAACATTAAACTTGTGTCAAAATCTAACTCTAAACTGTTCTTTAAACAACAACTACATCCCCTTTAATGGTTTCTCTAATCACACACCCTTGTGATTACCCCTACATAATTGATTAATGTATTCCTATTGTTTTAATCCTTGTTATTGTTGCCCCACACTATATATCCTGAATGCCTTGTTATTTTGTATCATTGCTTGATAAAGACGAAAGAATCAACGTCGAAACGTCGCAAGTTATTTATTAAAGTAATTGTTATCCATATAATTGTGTTCGTGTTAAACAACACAACAATACATGTAGTTTACTCTAGAAATATCTTACTAAATGTTTTCAAGAATGATGATTTGCACTGCTCATCTACAGTACTTGAATCCTGAGTCATCTTCATAGAATTGGAATTCTGAAAAATATCAGGAACCATTCCTTCATTGATGATAATTGGATAAGTTTGATCTGTTCTTGTATTCCGGGCAGATTTGCTGCTGTCTCAGAACTTTTTATCATCTTCAGACCAGACTTGCTGAAATCACACAACCAATTCTGCAGAGTGGCTCCTGTCTTTTTAGTAACTTGATCGTATTCGTTGAAAATTATTGCAACATCGCTATCACATTCTTCATTTGGATCTTTTTCAAAATTAAAAACTGATTCTGCTAGGTTGTAATCATTTGTATCAATTGAATGGTGCATCATCTGTGTCAGTACTTCAGTTTTGAACTCGAGGCATTTAAGTCCTTCTTTCGAACACAGCAGTAGAGCCAGCAGATCGAGGACACCAGTGAATTGTTGAAGCTGTATATGATTGTTGATGATACCTTGAATAACCTCATTGTCAGTGTCAGTATAAGAGGTACGTTTGAGCTCGTCATGGACTTCCTGATAAAGGCTTAGAGAAAAGCCATACTTTTTCACCAAGTAATACAGACTTGCCATATCCTTCTTTGGTTTTGTTCTATGCTCTGAATCTTCTCCCAAAATAATTTCGCGAATTGATTTCAAAGAAGTACAATTTGCCTCAGCATCATCAAAATGTTTGCTAATCTTTATTTTTTGACAATATGCCCAGCATCGTATTGCTCTTCGAAACATTTCCACAGCATCGTTACGATATTTTTCTCTCGATGTTTGGTCGAAATCTTGCGACTCATTCATACGAATTTTACACATCCCATACTGTTCGTAACATCTATATCGATTAAATGGAGAACGATCATGTTCCAAAATGTGGTTGAATTTCTCCATTACTTCATCATAGTTAGTAGGTGTCATCTGTAATAGGGTGATTCCCCAATCATAATATACAGCCATGTTTTGTTCTTGTCCTAACTCAGCAGACTGCCTAAACAGATCAATGCAAGGGTCTAGTTTTCTGGATAATTAAAAATCTTAAGTTTCCTTCCCTGTGAATTTATCAGTCTTTTCATCATTGGATTGTTTTGTACATCTGATTTTTCATTTGATGAAGTGCTTCCTGTATGGACTGGAGCAGAGGTCGATGGGAAAGAAGAACCTCTCCATGAACCGGAAGCCTGGCTTGGGCCATATCTTTGGTTTCTCTTGGAATATTGCTGTGGTTTTCTATGGTGATGAATAAAATTGTTCCTACGAATCAAACCAAGTTGATGACAGATGAAGGAATTAGGACAGATATCGTAGGCCTTTTGAAGTAACGCCTCAGCTTCTTTAAATTGGTTACAATGTTTCATTATTCTTCCAGCTTTCATTAAGATGGCTGTGTTCTCGGGTAGACATTGTACTCCTTTGTTGACTAATTCTATAATAAAATTTCTATCGGTGTTATTAAGCTTGTCAGGTGTAAAATGTAGGTCAGCCAGCTCGATATATGATCTTGCTTTGAAAAAACGATCTTTTTCATCAGCACAGTTCTTTAAAACATATTCTAGGTGGAAACATTGTCTGGATGTATGTGTTCATACATCTTCTATAAATAAGAGCTAAACCAAATTTCCATGGGAAGTTGTTCGGATTTCTTTCCACAGCTTCTGTATATGCTGCGATGGCTTTCTTGTAAAAATTCGCGTCAAGTCTTGTATAGGCATAGGCCAATTCTGATTTAGCTACATCAATATTGTAAGGATCAGCTGCTAATTCTTTAATGTGGCTTAAATTTCTCTTAGCTTTTGTGATCTCTCCTTTTCTAATAAGCTCAATATGGCCATCATTGCACAAGCATTGATACTAGAAGAGTTGGTATCCTCCAAAACTTTAGAAATAATGTTTTCAGCCTTGTCCACATCACCTAAATTATATGAGACACAGGCTTCCAAATTATGATTCTGTATTTGGTCTAAATCACTGGATTTTAGAAGATCTTCTTTTTCGTCTTCTAATTTTTTGGAAATTTTCCTCCAATAGTTGGAACTGCACTTCTCTGTTCCCATTTGAAAATAATTAGGATATTGTTGAAGATCTTGAAGGAATGCATTGTATTCTTCATCAAATTCCATGATCTGAAAAACACAGAAACAAGAGGTAAAAAGAACACATGACACTGTTTCACTAAAGTCCAAAATCTTGTCTTTGGTAATTTTTTGTGTAACTAGCGACAGCTATACCTTATTGTAACTATTTTCTAGGGAATAAATGAAACTTGCCATTGTGTGTAATGAGAACTTATTAACTTCAAAGCGTTGAATGTTTTTCACATATTTCTTACATAATTCGCCTTATTTTTGTTATTTTGACCTTTCATTTTTCGACTGTCAATCATAAAATAAGATGACGTCGTAAATGTCAAGGTGACATCATTGTACACTGCATGATGTTGCCGGTCTTCATAAGCCCAAGAAGATGCAGAAGAGTAGAATGTAAAACTCCATTTCTTTTCTAGATCAGCCCTGTCCCACTCATGATTAATAGAAGTGCCACTGGGCAAAACCCAGGTTCAAAACTTTCATCATATGAGGAGAGTGATATCTTTCTATATGAAGTGTAAGAACATCACATAGTTTCATTTGTCAAAATTGAATATGCACACAACAATTAAAGGCCCGTCTACACGATCATACATTTGTTCAAAACATCATCATACATTTGTAAGAACATGTTCAAGCTTGTTGTGGATTTCTGTCTACACTATCAAACACCATCAAACATGATCCAACATTTGTATGATGATGTTTGACCATGTATGACCAATAATGAAGGGTAAATATTATTTTTGGTGGGAAAATAATTCAACAAGGATGCTCAAAGCAGTCTGTTGAGTGGTGCTGCTGCATCAGTTATCATTTTAACAATTCTTCGTCGCGAAAAAGCGAAAGAGGAGAGCGCGAAAGTTTTGCCAATGGGTTAGGGACTGGATCCAAAGAAGAGGTCAACATGGGGCTTATCAGGCCTGATTGGGTGATTTACAGCTAACAGACCAGGCCAGTTGTTTGTAATTCCTCTGCAATTCGGTGCATTACTAATTTTCGTAATGCCTTATCTTTATAGCCTTTAATTAAAGTGTTATAAAGACACGGGTTGTCTTCATATAGGTTAATTAATTTAGTAACATCCTGTATGGTCCAAACTTTTTCTGCGTTGGTCGCCATTTTGAAGGTGGGAAGGCAGTCACATGACGTCCATACGGCAGCTGATTTGTTAAAGATTGATAACTAATTTAAACAACATTTGTTGGAAAGATGAAACATGCAGCTAAAAATTTGAACAACATCATACATGTTTGACCATGTTCAACCTTGTTGGGAAAGCCGTCTACACGATCAAACATTTGTCCACGAACACTGTCATACAAATGTATGACGATGTTTTGAACAAATGTATAATCTTATAGACGGGCCTTTATAGTTTAATTTGACTGACCTTGTTTTTTGGAGCTTTCAGAGCTTTAGAGATTTCAGAGCTTTCAGAGATTTCAGAGCTTTCAGAGATTTCAGTTTTATATCTATACTCTCAAAACCTCAAAATCCTTATTTTTACTTTCGCTACTTTTGTTGTTACACCTGACCTGATTTCAAATAATAAACTGAATTGAGTTGTGCATAGTTCAAGATGAAATTTTAACTGCAATCATCATATATATAGATTAGGTCAAATCAACAGCCTGGAGCTCTAGTCAGACATGACTGGTATATACAGTCAAATCAACAGTCTAGAGCTCTTGTCAGACATGACTGGTAAATACAGTCAAATCAACAGCCTGGAGCTCTAGTCAGACATGACTGGTAAAAACAGTCAAATCAACAGTCTATAGCTCTTGTCAGACATGACTGGTAAATACAGTCAAATCAACAGTCTAGAGCTCTAGTCAGACATGACTGGTAAATACAGCCAAATCAACAGCCTGGAGCTCTAGTCAGACATGACTGGTAAAAACAGCCAAATCAACAGTCTTTAGCTCTTGTCAGACATGACTGGTATATATAATCAAATCAACAATCTAGAGCTCTAGTCACACATGACTGGTAAATAAAGCCAAATCTACAGTCTATAGCACTAGTCACACATGACTGGTAAATACAGCCAAATCAACAGTCTTGAGCCCCATTCAGACATGTCAAATCAACAGGCCAGAACTCTAGTCAGACATGACTGGTAAATACAACCAATAACCCTGCAACAATATGTTATGCACACAAACTAGGTCATGTGTACTACAATGTTGAAAGTGAAAGTAGGTATTTTAAAGACTTGATGATTTTTCTACGAAATTACACAGAAATATTTTGTCAGATGACTATTAGTCATGTTGTGTATAGGCTGTGATTTTATTATGCTTTTTGGACATATTGCTTTCTGTCCTTAATGTGTATATTGCCTGTTGTTGGATTTTGTTTTTATGTGGTTTGGATGGACTGACCAAGGAAATTAGAGGAAAGAATTGGATTTTTAAACAGATAGCCTAAATAATAAAGGTTAGTAACGGTATTGATTTCTTAATTCTTACAAACAGGTTTAGTTGGAAGAGACTATCACTTATGTTTTTTAACCAGGTTTCATACTGTCATTAATGCAGGTAATAATCTGGTGTACTTACTCACTTATGATTGATATACCGGTACTTCCTTGTGTGGAAAGTTAATTAGCTTGGACTTCAGGTTTCGCTTAGCGGCTCAGATCGTTAGTATTTGGTTTATTTATCACTAGTATTCAGTAGTATTTCCAAATTTATAGAAATTCACTAGCCTTATTAAGACCAACCAAATTTGTTTTAACCTTTTGTAAATGTTGAATGAACAAGGTTATGTCACTTAAATCTCAATTGATTTTAATTACTTGTGTCAAATTTGTGAAATCATACAGCTTAAACTGTGTCAAGCAAAAAATGAGACAACTGTATCAGACTTACACCATGATATCACTGTGGTTGACTATTGCTTCATCCTTACTTATGGAAGGCCGAATGGCTTTTTATTCAATGGTATTTATTGCTATTTCTTAATTCTTAATTCTAAATTCTGTATTTGGAGAAATGTTTCACAAGATTTGTTGAGAGAGATTTGTATTTGAACATTTGTTGGTAGAGTTTTGTGTTTGACGTTTTGCATTTGAAGATATGTTGAGCTAGATTTGTATTTGTAGATTTGTATTTGAGGATATTTTTGGCAAGAATTCTATTAATTCAAGAACTTGAAAACCGAAAGTTTATCGAAGAATGATCATTTTCAGTACAAATTATGATTTAGTATACAAATGTCATTTCCAATAACAAATGTTAAATTAAGCGTGCAAATTAAGAATTAAGAAATAGCAATGAAGAACATTGAATATAAAGCCATTCCGCCTTCCATACATCCTCAGTATATCTTACTTTGATTGTTGAATGTTTTACTCATGTCAACTGCTGCAGATCCAATGGTACCCTTTAATCTTTACTTTTTTGTATGCTTTCTTTTAGTCCTTTCTTTGTGTTCTGGAGCAGTAGTGCTCCAGGGTTCAATGCTGGCAAATGTGGAGATAGTACCTTCTGATTTTTCAACCTGGTTTCCCCTTGTCAGTTATGTAGGTTCGGAGAGCTGACATGGCAAAACGTAGGTTATATGAGTTACAGGCTGTGCATGATAAAGATTCCCCTACAGTTGGATATAGAAAAACAGTAGGCTAATGCTGCTGTCCTGGCAAAATTTCTCTCATTGCACACTGCATGACGTCTTTCCTTCTACATTAGTCCATAAGGTGTAGAACAGTAGGACGTAAAACTCCATTTATTTCTTTGTGCTTACCTCTTGTTTCTGTGTTTTTCAGATCATGGAATTGGATGAAGAATACAATGCATTCCTACAAGATCTTCAACAATATCCTAATTATTTTCAAATGGGAACAGAGAAGTGCGGTTCCAACTTTTGGAAGAAAATTGAAAAAAAAGTTGAAGATGAAAAAGAGGAACTTTTGAACTCTAGTGATTTGGACAGAATAAAGAATCAGAATTTGGAAGCCTGTGCTTCATATAATTTAGGTGATGTGGACAAGGCTGAAAACATTATTTCTAAAGTTTTGGAGGATACCCACTCTTCTAGTATCAATGCTTGTGCAATGATGGCCATACTGAGCTATAGAAAAGGAAAGATCACAAAAGCTAAGAGAAATTTAAGCCGCATCAAAGAATTAGCAGCTGATCCTTACAATATTGATGTAGCTAAATCAGAATTGGCCTATGCCTATACAAGACTTAATGCAACATTTTACAAGAAAGCCATTGCAGCATATACAGAAGCTGTGGAAAGAAACCCTAACAACTTCCCATGGAAATTTGGTTTAGCTCTTATTTATAGAAGATGTATGAACACAAACATCCAGGCAATGTTTCCAGATTTACAGTTGGAGACCTGTTTTAATGAAGCTGAAAAACACCTAGAATATGTTTTAGAGAACTGCACTGACGAAAAAGATCGTTTTTTCAAAGCAAGATCATATATTGAGCTGGCTGACCTATACTCGACAGCCAATGTTACTGACAAGCTTATTAACACTGATAAATATTATATTATAGATTTAGTCAACAAAGGAGTACAATGTCTACCTGAAAACACCGCCGTCTTAATGAAAGCTGGAAAACTTCTCAGACATTGTTACCAATTTGAAGAAGCTGAGGCGTTACTTCAAAAGGCCTACGATATCTGCCCTAATTCCTACATCTGTCATCAACTTGGTTTGAGTCAGAAGAACAATATTATCCATCACCATAAAAAACTACAGCATAAAACCACGGGAGGTGGAAGATATCGCCAAAACAAACAAGATCAAGACTTTGGTTCGAAGACAAGTCCTAGTTTCCCATCCACCTCTGCACCACAGCAAAAAAATACAACAACTCAAGACTATAGAAAGTTGGACCAGCAATCTGAGAGTTTGGCATTTGAGAATGGAAAGAAACAATTTGACAACAGTTTATCCTCGAAGAGTAGAAAAGAACCAGATATCAAGGATGAATCCATTGATGATTCAACACAAACATTAACAGAACCAAAACCTGTAGACATTAAAAACCCTACAGAAGTTGATAATGATTTAGAAACAGATTTAGCTATTGAAGAACCTGTAAATACACTTTCATTTCCAATTGTCAGTCCCTATCAAACCACTCTGAAACAACAGATAGGAAGCACTTTATTTGATAGTCCATCTCGTGATCATTTTGATCCTCATTCAGTGAAAAAATTGCAAAAAAGTATCAATGATGATGATCTAGATCCAGGAAGACATCCAAAGAAAGGTCATCAACTGTTGGCAGAAAAAACTGTTGTAGATGATCCAAGCAAAACTGATTCTACTGAAGGTACTACCATCCTTCTAAACAAGTCAAAGACAGATATGGAGCTAGCAGAAAGTTTGTCAAAAGTGTCTCTGACAAACAAAGCTGAGGTTGGAAAAGAACCAGTGAAGAGCTTGGAGTCATCATCATTTACACCATCACGTCCTGTTACTCAGAAATCTGAAGATATCTCATCAGTACCGACAACAACAAAATCAGATGTACAGAACAATCCAATGATGAAAAGACTGATAAATTCACCAGGGGAAGAAACTTATGATTTTGAATTATCCAGAAAACTAGACCCTTGCATTGATCTGTTTAGTCAGTCTGCTGAGTTGGGACAAGAACGAAACTTGTCTGTTTATTATGATTGGGGAATCACCCTACTAAAAATGACACCCACCAAGTTTGATGAAGTAATGGAGAAATTCAACCATATTTTGGAACATGATCATTCTCAATTTTTGCGCTACAGATGTTACGAGCAGTATGGGATATGTAAAAAACGAATGAGTAAGTCACAAGATTTCGACCAAACATCGAGAGAAGATTATCAACAAGATGCTGTGGAAATGTTTCGAAGAGCAATACGATGCTGGGCATATTGTCAAAAAATAAATTTAAGCAAACATTTTGATGATGCTGAAGGCAATTGTACTTCTTTTAAATCAATTCGCGAAATTATTTTGGGAGAAGATTCAAGGCATGGAACAAAACCAAAGAAGGATATGGCAAGTCTGTATTACTTGGTGAAAAAGTATGGTTTTTCTCTAAGCCTTTATCAGGAAGTCCATGACGAGCTCAAACATACCTCTGATACTGACACTGACAGTGAGGTTATTCAAGGTATCATCAACAATCATATACAGCTTCAACAATTCACTGGTGTCCTCGATCTGCTGGCTCTACTGCTGTGTTCGAAAGAAGGACTTAAATGCCTCGAGTTCAAAACTGAAGTACTGACACAGATGATGCACCATTCAATTGATACAAATGATTACAACCTAGCAGAATCAGTTTTTAATTTTGAAAAAGATCCAAATGAAGAATGTGATAGCGATGTTGCAATAATTTTCAACGAAGACGATCAAGTTACTAAAAAGACAGGAGCTACTCTGCAGAATTGGTTGTGTGATTTCAGCAAGTCTGGTCTGAAGGTGATAAAAAGTTCTGAGACAGCAGCAAATCTGCCCGAAATACAAGAACAGATCAAACTTATCTGTAACAGTAAAATGGCCATCTTCATCCTGGCCAACGACAACCCATCAGAGTTCACTTACTTAATGAACACAGCATTGAAAGCCCGGTGCAGTGATGACCATATCTTGAAGAAGATTTTTCCAATAACCATCAATGATGGAATGGTTCCTGATATTTTTCAGAATTTCAATTCTATGAAGATGACTCAGGATTCAAGTACTGTAGATGAACAAAACAAATCATCATTCTTGAAAACATTTAGTAAGATATTTCTAGAGTAAACTACATGTATTGTTGTGTTGTTTAAAGTGGCAGTATTTCTTTTGTTGGATTGCTTTTTTGAGTAGTTTGGCTATTGTCTTGCAACTTGTCCATTACTTTAATAGTTTTTGTTTTAAAATTGAAATTTTTGTCAACACAACAATGGTCTTGACACATCAGCAAGTTTACTACATTGAAAGAAGGAAGATAAAACTAAACTCTTCATTGGCTAACCATTTATCAACGCATTAAATTCAATCAATTCTCATTAACCTTCAAAATATTCTAGATTAAAACACTTAAATACCTTTATAATGAATTTAACGAGAGATCTAAATTAACAGAAACCAGTATGACACTGAGATCAGATACACTCCAAACTTTAGACATACCGAAGTGTAATAAAACTGCTATGATGAGAACATTTTAATATACAGCTTCTTTACATTGGAATTCATTACCACAAACTGTACAACATTCGACTTTAATTTTCATGTTGAAAAAACAAATTTAAAGATAGCTTGCCAGGCAAGGTAATATACGCCCACTGGCAGCATTGATTTTAAATAAAAATATTTAGCAGTACAGTAACAATTTCAGCAAGTTTCGTCAAAATCCTTAAAGAATTGTGACGTGTAGAGTGTTAACAAGCAATTGTGGTGGACGGACCGACGGACACGGCAATATACGCCCCATATTTCACGTGGGCATATAAAAATCAAAAGAATCTGTAAAAAATTGTCGTCTGTGGATTGAGCAAAGGGTTGCACAATATAGCTAATAGAGTGAAACGTCAAGTCAGACACGATATTTCGGTGAAATGTTATCCGATCATCGTGAAAATCAATAGGGATCATCTTCATAACAACATAGACATACAAAATAAAAATCAAAAGAATCTGTAAAGAATTGTAGCCTGTAGAGTGAGCAAGAGTTGCACAATATAGCTAATAGAGTAAAACGTCAAGTTAGACACGATATTTCGGTGAAAAATTATCCGATCATCACGAAAATCAATAGGGATCATCTTCATAATGACATTGACACACAAAATAAAAATCAAAAGAATCTGTAAAAAATTGTAGCCTGTAGAGTGAGCACGAGTTGCACAATATAGCTAATAGAGAAAAACGTCAAGTCAGACATGATATTTCGGTGAAAAATTATCCGATTATCACGAAAATCAATAGGGATCATCTTCATAACAACATTGACATACAAAATAAAAATCAAAAGAATCCATAAAGAACTATAGCCTGTAGAGTGAGCACGAGCCAAATGTGAACGGACGGACGGACCGATGGATGGACCGATGGATGGACCGACGGGGTGATTACAATATACGCCCATCTTACGTGTGGGCGTATAAAAAGTTTATTCTCATTTTAGACGGCGCAATCCTTGACGGATTTTGATGAAATTTGGTGTGTGTGTTTGGATGAACCCTATTGAAAATCAGAAAAATCGAAAAATAAATAGTATGAGTTATTGCCCTTATTCTTGAAAACGTGTTCAATATTAGCTTATAAACACAAGGTTCAAATATTGACAGATTTTGACGAAACTTGGTAATATTATTCAGTATTGCCTCAAAAAGTTCAAAAGAAGTGTATGACTGAAGGTTGAATATTTCATACTAGTAATTGTTACTGTACTGCCAAATGTTTTTATTTTAAATCAAAGCTGCAAGTGGGCATATATTACCTTGTGATTGTGATTCACTCTGCAAATAGTTATAATGTAGTTAGAAGGATTTTAGCCTTTTTTTTTTTAACACTTTATGATTTTTTCTTTTTTCTTTATATTCTCATTAGTTATTATTTTCTGATAAAATTATTATTATTATTATTATTATAAACCCTAGCATAAAATCCAGTCAAATCACTGCATTTATAAACTTCCACGATAGCAAGGTGGCAATTGTAGTCAAGGTATTACACACAGTTCATAATAGCTTGACATCGTGATTGCTTGACATTGTGGAGACACAGTTCATATTAACTTGACATAGTGACAGCTTGACATCGTGAAGACACGGTTCATAATAGCTTGACATTGTGATAGCTTGACATCATAAAGACATAATACATATTAGCTTGACATTGTGATAGCTTGACATTGTGGAGACACAGTTCATATTAGCTTGACATTGTGATAGCTTGACATTGTGGAGACACAGTTCATATTAGCTTGACATTGTGATAGCTTGACATTGTGGAGACACAGTTCATATTAGCTTGACATTGTGATAGCTTGACTTTGTGGAGATGTACATCATCTGGCTTATGAATATTTATGTTTTTCTTTTAATGTTTAAACTATTCCTTGGGACATATGTTTTGTTATCTAATAATAATGTAATATAAATACTGATTGATATTTGATGTTTTTCTTAGCTTTAAGCTCTTGAGTCGAGTTACACACTGGCTTGCTAACCTCAAGGTGCAGGGTTCACTGCCAGCAAATATCTTTGGATTTTTCAGCTCGGTTTGCCCCTGCAGGTTGGAGGGGCTGAAATGTAAAAAGCAATTGGTCGTTTGGATGGACAATGAACAGAGGCCCTGTGTATTACAGGCTGTGCAGGATAAAGATCCCTGGACAGTTCGAAATCAGAAAAGAGTAGGCTTATGCTACTATAGACCCCAAAACATTTAAAAACAAATGGTTGACAATTGAAAGATATATTCTGGAATTAAGAGATGCACCTTTGCATTACCATATTCATTTCATTTAGAGTCCAAGTTAAAGCACTTTATTGAATTCAAGCAGACAGGACTTGCTCACCCTTCTGGACACCTAATGTCACTCTGTAATTGGGATTGTCAAGTGGGATTTGCCACATAGCTAATATTGTTAACTTAAAGTATTTATTCTACTGGAAGTGGCAACACCAAGCTGTGTGCAATGAAGGAAACAGTCATAACTGATTGAAGCTCTGGACCATTGTATCGTCACTGAATTTTTTTTCATCCTGTTTGAAAGGGACAGGTGTGTCGTTCTGTTTGATCAATCATTCTTTAGTCTCAGAAATGGGATTTTTTTTAGCTAAATGAATCAGTAATAGCGTTTGAATGATAAATTAATTCGTCAATTTAAGATACTCTGTGATATATAGAAAAAACATATACAGTCCTAACTTTTACTACCAAAAAAGAGTATTCTGTACTGCCCATGGTCCAGTGACTATGTCTACTGTAAACAATATGTCATCAGGTCTTAACACCACAATAAATCTGCCCAATTAAAGATTCAAAATTTAGTTCTGTTATGTTTGACCAGTATCATATTACATACATACACATCTTTATGACCTCTCTTATAATAACTTTTCTTATTTTTTAGAACCATTCCATATACTCATTGGTTTCTTTTGTATCTTGTTTTGAAATAATTCAATAACTTTTTTTCAACTGGTTGGGCATCAGCACTTGCAAATTGGCACACGACAGACTTTGAAAACAATATGAGCAAACAGTGAAAAAAAAAAAAAGGAAAATAACAAAAACCTGGACTCCATTGCAGCCGCTTAATCGGGCTACAGACCCAGCGCTGCGACATTTACTCAGTATGTGTGTATGTTCCACAATGAGTTGCTGTTTCTGTCTAAATGTATTTTACTGTAAATTACTGTAAACAACATTAAATGTTGTTAGCCGTTAAAAACACCCCATACCCATCACCTTCTGGGGGGACCCATCGACCATCTATGGATCTTTTTCAATTTCAGACATGAAAAGCAGCAATTTAGCTCATTTACTTGGGAAACCCTATTTTATTCTGATAATTTTATGAACACAGATTTGGACATGTGGATGCATTTCCTTTACGAACATTATCATAAAAATATTGCCAGGTACTGTCAAATTATCGCAAATCAATCAGAATACACAATTTGAACTTTTAAATTCAGTAAATTGAAATAGAATGCGCTAGAATTATTATTTAGTTTAATTTTGAAGGACACCTCTATTTATCTGAATAATTTTTTTTATGGTTTCAGAATGCTAAAACTTGGCAGCTTTCGTAAAAATTGTAAAATTTTATCAAATATAGAAATTGTGTTTCTAAAGTGATCAGATTCGTGTGTTAATATTCCTGATTTATAGGATTCTGATTCCTGAAATTTTATGACCATCTTCTTTTAAAAGAAATCAAACAGAGTTTTGCTCAAGAGAACCAAATTTCAAATTTAAACCAGTGAAGAAAGACCTTATACTAAATTTAGAACATGAAATCTAATACCAGGGTGCCAAGAACTGGTCAAGTTATAGTACCTTCTTAGTGAGGTATTGTCTATTGGGAACAAGGTGCAATATAAATTTGTATCATATCTGTCAAAGAGTAATGAACCATCACATTACAGTTTTGGCTGTAATGGCCGCCAAGCGGTAGTAAAAGTTAGGACTGTATATACAAATAGTGAGTAGACTTCCTAGTTTGAGATATTTTTGAAAGGAATTATGCTATTTTTGTTCAATTCTAGGACTTCTGAAGACCATTAACATATTTTGAAGACTCAAATCCCCCCCCCACCCTATACATATACATCACTTAAAAACATAGTAAGTATTATCCTATCAATTTTAAAGGTACAGTGGCCTAAATAAGTGAATTACATGAAGATCTCTTGGGAGAAATTTCTACAGCTTAGGTCCACATACTGCTAGTGACCATTTAGAAATGGTTGTACATCTCTCGGATTCAACAGGATCTCATCGGAACTCTTCCAGATTTCTGAAGCTCACTAATCACTAAGGTTACTTGGGGCTGTAGGAATGTAAATAATTTGGAAACTATACACAGAATAAAGATATAATTTCATATAAATAAATAAATATATAACAACATTTTAACACTAATTCTTAAAAGAAATGAAAGAAACTAAAACCAGCTATATATGAATGTAACCTAATACCTAAAATCAACCCTAAAATCAACCCTAAAATCAACCCTAAATATGGTACAAAAACATTAGACTAAAAAAAGCTTCAATAAAACATAGGTAAATTAATATCACAGAAGTTCACTGTGTATGCTTACTCTTCTAGACACCTGATACCACTTTTCATTATGAAATACTTACTCACTTATATATGATATACTTCCTTTAGCTGCTACCAATGTTTCGTCAAAATGTTTTTTTTGGATTTCAGGTTTAGTTTTGTGGTTTGGATCGTTAGTTCTTGATTTAATTATATCACATATCATATCTTCAAGTAGTGGTAATAAACACTGATAAAAACAATATCACAGAAAACCTTAAAGTAGTGGTAATAAACAATGATAAAAACAATATCACATATCATACCTTAAAGTAGTGGTAATATACAATGATAAAAACAATATCACATATCATATCTTAAAGTAGTGGTAATAAACAATGATAAAAACAATATCACATATCATACCTTAAAGTAGTGGTAATAAACAATGATAAAAACAATATCACAGAAAACCTTAAAGTAGTGGTAATAAACAATGATAAAAACAATATCACAGAAAACCTTAAAGTAGTGGTAATATACAATGATAAAAACAATATCACAGAAAACCTTAAAGTAGTGGTAATATATACTGATAAAAACAATATCACAGAAAACCTTCAAGTAGTGGTAATAAACAATGATAAAAACAATATCACAGAAAACCTTAAAGTAGTGGTAATATATACTGATAAAAACAATATCACAGAAAACCTTAAAGTAGTGGTAATATATACTGATAAAAACAATATCACAGAAAACCTTAAAGTAGTGGTAATAAACAATGATAAAAACAATATCACAGAAAACCTTAAAGTAGTGGTAATAAACACTGATAAAAACAATATCACAGAAAACCTTCAAGTAATGGTAATATACACTGATAAAAACAATATCACAGAAAACCTTAAAGTAGTGGTAATAAACACTGATAAAAACAATATCACAGAAAACCTTAAAGTAGTGGTAATAAACACTGATAAAAACAATATCACAGAAAACCTTAAAGTAGTGGTTATAAACAATGATAAAAACAAATCACAGAAAACCTTAAAGTAGTGGTAATAAACAATGATAAAAACAATATCACAGAAAACCTTAAAGTAGTGGTAATAAACACTGATAAAAACAAATCACAGAAAACCTTAAAGTAGTGGTAATAAACACTGATAAAAACAAATCACAGAAAACCTTAAAGTAGTGGTAATAAACAATGATAAAAACAATATCACAGAAAACCTTAAAGTAGTGGTAATAAACAATGATAAAAACAATATCACAGAAAACCTTAAAGTAGTGGTAATAAACACTGATAAAAACAATATCACAGAAAACCTTCAAGTAATGGTAATATACACCGATAAAAACAATATCACAGAAAACCTTCAAGTAATGGTAATAAACACTGATAAAAACAAATCACAGAAAACCTTAAAGTAGTGGTAATATACACTGATAAAAACAATATCACAGAAAACCTTAAAGTAGTGGTAATATACACTGATAAAAACAATATCACAGAAAACCTTAAAGTAGTGGTAATATACACCGATAAAAACAATATCACAGAAAACCTTCAAGTAATGGTAATAAACACTGATAAAAACAATATCACAGAAAAGTAATGGTATTAAACATTGATAGAATAATCCAAATATCACAGTCAACTTTTATCCTATGACTCATGATACAATAACCATTGTATTTTGACCCTCTTATCGTGTTACGTATCATATTGTTGCATGTTTGGAGATACCCAGCATTAGTGCAAATAGCTCAAATAAACACAAGCTATCTAAGGTTTGAGATGCTTGCACTCAATGAGAATGTGTTTCACTGTCACAGACTGGTTGAGGCTTGAGCAAATAACAGTTGGTAAGGTGAGTATGTCCAAGAGAACAACTTCATTCCTCCTGCTGGCACAAGAGAGGCATGCTGGCTTGAAAATTGTGTGTCTGTGGCATCCTCCGCCATCTTGCTGAATAAAGCCTTAAGACTCAGCACTAATGAACCCTAAAACTAGTTTGAAAAAATGAACTGAGGAGACCATTACTATACAACTATTTGTGTTGCTTTGGACAAGATTTTGGGTCCTTGGAAATGTTTTGCTTCAAGGGATTTTTAATAACATATTTGTTAAACTGGTTTACTCCAAAAATATCTCACTGAATGTTTTCAAGAATGAGGATTTGTTCTGTTCATCTACAGTATTTAGATTGTGAGTCATCTTCATGGTTTTGAAATTCTGAAAAATATCAGGAACCATTCCATCATTGATGATAATTGGAAAAATCTTCTTCAAGATATGGTCATCACTGCACCGGGCTTTCAATGCTGTGTTCATTAAGTAGGTTAACTCTGATGGATTCTCGTTGGCTAGGATGAAGATAACCATTTTACTGTTAGAGATGAGTTTGATCTGTTCTTGTATTCCAGGCAGATTTGCTGCTGTCTCAGAACTTTTTATCACCTTCAGACCAGACTTGCTGAAGGCACCCAACCAATTCGGCAGACTGGCTGCTGTCTTTTTAGTAACTTGATCGTCTTTGTTGAAAATTATTGCAACATCGCTATCACATTCTTCATTTGGATCTTTTTCAAAATTAAAAACTGATTCTGCTAGTTTGTAATCATTTGTATCAATTGAATGGTGCATCATCTGTGTCAGTACTTCAGTTTTGAACTCGAGGCACTGAAGTGCTTCTTTCGAACACAGCAGTAGAGCCAGCAGATCGAGGACACCAGTGAATTGTTGAAGCTGTATATGATTGTTGATGATACCTTGAATAACCTCACTGTCAGTGTCAGTATCAGAGGCACGTTTGAGCTTGTCATGGACTTCCTGATAAAGACTTAGAGAAGAACCGTATTGTCTCACCAAGTAATACAGGCTTGCCATATCCTTCTTTGGTTTTGTTCTATGCTCTGAATCTTCTCCCAAAATAATTTCGCGAATTGATTTCAAAGAAGTACAATTGCCTTCAGCATCATCAAAATGTTTGCCTAAATTTATTTTTTGACAATATGCCCAGCATCGTATTGCTCTTCGAAACATTTCCACAGCATCTTGACGATATTCTTCTCTCGATGTTTGGTCGAAATCTTGCGACTCACTCATACGAATTTTACATATCCCATACTGCTCGTAACATCTGTATCGATAAAATGGAGAAGGATCATGTTCCAAAATATGGTTGAATTTCTCCATTACTTCATCATAGTTAGTGGGTGTCATCTGTAATAGGGTGATTCCCCAATCATAATATACAGCCATGTTTTGTTCTTGTCCTAACTCAGCAGACTGACTAAACAGATCAATGCAAGGGCCTAGTTTTCTGGATAATTCAAAATCATAAGTTTCCTTCCCCGGTGAATTTATCAGTCTCGTCATTTTAACTATTGGGTCGTTTCGCTGATTTGTTTCTGATGATGAGGAATCTTCAGAGTTCTTTGAAACACTCAGAGACATTTTTGACAAAGTTTCAGCTAGATCTCTTCTCCTACCTGTATTGGTAGAACCATCAGTAGATTTATTTTTGCTTGATGCCAGGCAATCCAACTTTTTATTGACTGCAGGCATGGTGGATGGGAAAGAAGAACCTCTCCATGAACCGGAAGCCTGGCTTGGGCCATATCTTTGGTTTCTCTTAGAATATTGCTGTGGTTTTCCATGGTGATGGATAATATTGTTCCTTCGAATCAAACCAAGTTGATGACAGATGTAGGAATTAGGGCAGATATCGTAGGCCTTTTGAAGTAACGCCTCAGCTTCTTTAAATTGGAAACAATGTCTGAGAAGTTTTCCACCTTTCATTAAGACATTGGTGTTCTCAGGTAGACATTGTACTCCTTGGTGAACTAAATGTGTAATCTTATGTATATGAGTTTTAGCAATAGAAGTTGTATTAGCCGTACCATATAGGTCAGCCAGCTCGATGTATGATCTTGCTTTGAAAAAACGATCTTTTTTATCAGTGCAGTTCTCTAAAACATATTCTAGGTGTTTTTTAGCTTCATTAAAACAGGTCTCTATCTGTAAATCTGGAAACATTGCCTGGATGGGTGTGTTCATACATCTTCTATAAATTTGAGCCAAACCAAATTTCCATGGGAAGTTGTTCGGATTTCTTTCCACAGCTTCTGCATATGCTGCAATGGCTTTCGTGTAATATTTCGGGTTAAGTCTTGTATAGGCATAGGCCAATTCTGATTTAGCTACATCAATATTGTAAGGATCAGCTGCTAATTCTTTGATGCGGCTTAAATTTCTCTTAGCTTTTGTGATCTCTCCTTTTTTATAGCTCAATATGGCCATCATTGCACAAGCATTGATACTAGAAGAGTGGGTATCCTCCAAAACTTTAGAAATAATGTTTTCAGCCTTGTCCACATCACCTAAATTATATGAGACACAGGCTTCCAAATTCTGATTCCTTATTTGGACCATATCGCTAAAATTTGGAAGATCCTCTTTTTCGTCTTCTAATTTTTTGGAAATTTTCCTCCACAAGTTGGAACTGCAATTCTCTGTTCCCATTTGAAAATAATTAGGATATTGTTGAAGATCTTGTAGGAATGCATTGTATTCTTCATCCAATTCCATGATCTGAAAAACACAGAAACAAGAGGTAAGCAAAGCACACAGAAAGGACCAATAAACATAGGCACAAGATGGGCTGCTTTCAACTCAAAGGGTCTTATTTGAACCAAAGCAGTTGACATGAACAACACAGTCTTAATGAGAATTAACTGATTACTATAAACTGATATCAACTGCATGATCCCAGATTCAGACCTCTCATGGTCAACCATCAAACGAAACTACGTTCTATTATGGAAATATCACAAACAAACATTTTGATAAAGGCTATGATATTTCAGCTAAGCTTTCCAATTACATTTGAAGGCTTAGAAATGGCTTTGATTGTGATTTAAAAGGCTTTGTTGAAATTTCATTAAGTCGACGTGGTGATTCAAAATGGCTGTGAACCTTGTTCATGTGTGTTATTTCCATATGTAGTTTCGTTTTTGGGTGACCACAAGATTTAATCTTTGCTAGGAATTAGAAGATGAGTGATGATAGGTTTGATAGGTTTGATTCATACAAAAACCCCTGAGCCTCCGTACAGAAGTTGCTAGAGCAAGAAAAAATCAAAGGTTATTATCTCACAATACTGCATAAATACATGTGTACAGGTCAGAAAAAACATCTGGAGATTGGCTGAAAAGTCATGAATTTTAAACTCCAAATTGATTCTTTTTTTTAAATAAGCCTTAAAGATGGGTTTCCTCATTAAGCAAACTTTTTGATTAATTGGTATTTCTAATGAATTATCATATATTCTTAATCATATCATTATATTCTTATTGCATATAACTAAAGAGTTTTAACCAGTCATAAATGTCCATATATGTACAGTCTGGATAAACAAAAAAAGACTTTTCGACCTTTCTTGAGCGGGTCACTCATTGGAATTCTGCTGGTAATTCTCATCTAATTTAGCTAATTATGAATTAATTATGGACATGTGAGACAAACTGATATTTTTCCAAGTCATTAGAACACATCTACTTTCTATTCATATAAGTATTAGCATTTTCATTTTCATAAATGAAAATAAGGGAACCCATCTTTAAGCCTTGTAAATTGATTAAATTTATCATCGGCCTACATGACCCAGTAAAAATTAACAAATCTATAACAAAACAAAACAATGCTCTTAACTGTTTTTTTTTGTATGTCAAAACTGAAATTAAAGAAATAAAGAAATTATTATGTCTATTTTTACCTTAATATTATTTGAACTGTTTGATTAAAACCAATGTATTTCCTCGATTATAGGAATGATTGTTAGTCCACTCAGACTGAATCAAAAGAATCACAATCAACAGTCAATATAAATATCAAATATATGCATAAACAGGAAGGTTGTCTACACGGTTTAATCAAATTCAAACAATGTTTACAGTAGCCTACACCTAACAACATGTATAATACAGATCATATATCATAAACAATTATCACAATCCTGGCTTGGGGGATTCATGTAATGCACTACTGTGTAATTTCCTAGAAAAAAACCCTACTTTCATTTTCACTTCCAACTTTGTTTAAATCTGACCAAGTTTTATTTGTAGAATAAACTGCACTAAGTCATGCCATATTCAAAACATAATAATGCAGGGCTGTGGGAATTTCTAGGAGGAAGGGGGGGGGGGGGAGCTCCTGAGGCAGAACTGAGCCTGACCTAGTCAAACCATCCCTATTCTAAAATTGCTAATCATTTTATATAGGGAATGCCTGGTGCTGTGAAATATTACAGATTAAGTTTTGATGCCACAGCCAGTGTCTATGTTGCCCGAGTGTTGCCTTTCAACCTTTATCACCCCAGATGTCTGATTGAGGCTCGGCGCTATTGTTAGGCCACATTGTATTTTTTTTAATGATTTGTTTAATGGGTTCAGGGATCTAATTTAACAAATGTTTGATCGTGTAGTTGGGGCTTTAGTCAATAGCTATGATGATGTTTTGAACTAATGTTTGATTGTGTAGTTGGGTCTTTAGTCAATAGCTATGATGATGTTTTGAACTAATGTTTGATTGTGTAGTTGGGTCTTTAGTCAATAACTATGATGATGTTTTGAACTAATGTTTGATTGTGTAGTTGGGTCTTTAGTCAATAGCTATGATGATGTTTTGAACTAATGTTTGATTGTGTAGTTGGGTCTTTAGTTAATAGCTATGATGATGTTTTGAACTAATGTTTGATTGTGTAGTTGGGTCTTTAGTCAATAACTATGATGATGTTTTGAACTAATGTTTGATTGTGTAGTTGGGGCTTTAGTCAATAGCTATGATGATGTTTTGAACTAATGTTTGATTGTGTAGTTGGGTCTTTAGTCAATAACTATGATGATGTTTTGAACTAATGTTTGATTGTGTAGTTGGGTCTTTAGTCAATAGCTATGATGATGTTTTGAACTAATGTTTGATTGTGTAGTTGGGTCTTTAGTCAATAGCTATGATGATGTTTGAACTAATGTTTGATTGTGTTGTTGGGTCTTTAGTCAATAGCTATGATGATGTTTTGAACTAATGTTTGATTGTGTAGTTGGGGCTTTAGTCAATAGCTATGATGATGTTTTGAACTAATGTTTGATTGTGTAGTTGGGGCTTTAGTCAATAGCTATGATGATGTTTGAACTAATGTTTGATTGTGTAGTTGGGGCTTTAGTCAATAGCTATGATGATGTTTTGAACTAATGTTTGATTGTGTAGTTGGGGCTTTAGTCAATAACTATGATGATGTTTTGAACTAATGTTTGATTGTGTAGTTGGGGCTTTAGTCAATAGCTATGATGATGTTTTGAACTAATGTTTGATTGTGTTGTTGGGTCTTTAGTCAATAGCTATGATGATGTTTTGAACTAATGTTTGATTGTGTAGTTGGGGCTTTAGTCAATAGCTATGATGATGTTTTGAACTAATGTTTGATTCTGTAGTTGGGGCTTTAGTCAATAGCTGTGTACTAAGGTGAAAAAACCATCATTAAAGATTTCTTTGCAGCAACTAGTTTCATGATTTGGCGCCAATGGTTCCAGTGATGTCTTTGATTCGATTATTTCTGGTAATATTGGAACCAAATTCTTCATCAAATGACAATTTGGTTTGTTTTGTTGCAGGCGTTCTTGAAAGAATATTAAATTCCGTCACATGATTCATATTGATGGAGTCCATTTCCGACGTTGTCAATTCAACCATCTTTTATTGCACTTTAATTAAGTCACAAAATAAAGTCAGTAGAATTCCAAGAATGATTCTATTAATAGAGAATTATTCAAATTTAATTGTTGCTTAAATGAACAGGTTTCCCATCCGTTCCACCAATCGTACTTCAGTCTCAGAAATCGGAATTTTTTAGCTAAGCTAATCAGTAATAATGTTCACAGCTCACTGTCTGCATTTGAGTCTTTAATCCATCTCTGTACTGAATTATCGGTGTTAGAAATTTAAAATGACAACTTGCCTTTTCTTGAGATGTCACCGTATATAGAAAAGACATCTAGTTTTAAGTATATTTGCATTTGCATGGGGGGCAATAGCTGATAGAGGCTGATTTCATCTTCAATTGAGAATTTGTTTGAAGTTTGCAGTTCCGACCCACCCCCCACCCCCCCTGCACCACCCTTAGTTACGGGCCTGCCTACACCTGTTCCTCAAGTTTTAAAAATGACCCACCCCAGTCTGATTTTCTAGTTATTTTTGTAATATTAACTATAGTGGCAAAATGGCCCTCATTGAGCACTGCATATTGATGAACCATTTCATTTGTCTCTGAATCTTGCAAGAAGTTGAAAAAGGTGAAAACGGCTTGCTGTGATGAACTGGTGATGCTAAATGTCATGAAAGCCAACAATAAAATATCACGTATTGGTATTTCCGATTTTAAATTGTCTTTAGAATACCAGGAATTGTGCCAGTGACATTTCAAATCTCATCATCCAGTATTGATTTCTTTTATTAGACTTAAACACTTGCTGTTTTATTTATAATAGGCTACCTAGATATCTTAACTAGTTCCCTTTCAGTAAGTGGAGTTTTACTCCTAGTCTTTAGTTTAAAACACTTGCTGTTTTATTTATAATGGGCTACCTAGATATCTTAACTAGTTCCCTTTCAGTGAGTGGAGTTTTACTCCTAGTCTTTAGTTTAAAACACTTGTTGTTTTCTTTATAATAACAAGATATTTCAACTATCCCAATGTTTCCTTTCATATTGTTTCATGTATGCCACAACACATTGTTATAGTCTATGAGGCCACTAACAACTGCTGATGTACCATATACATTTTATTATAAATACATGAAGAGAAAGAGAGGTGATGGTCAGCCAGCTATGATGAAGGACAAGAGACAAGTGACGTGTAAAGAGTAATGAGTAGCAATCAGTAGAGGACAACTTCCTGTGGGTTGTACTTGGTTTAATGTGATGCTACACACATGCCATCCATGATCTGATAAAATCCTTCTTTAAATCATGATCAATTGAATTTTTCCCAATGGCGTCAAAAGTTGTCATTTTGTCATGTTTATTAAAGATGTCATTTAAATAAAGGAACACTTTCTCCATCCATTTGACCAATCTTTCCTTAGTCTCAGAAATGGGGAATAAGCTGAGCTTATCAGCTACAGTGTTCACAGCTCACAGTTGGAATTTGAGCCTTCAAATCCAAATGTCAAGATTTATCCATGTTTGAAAGTTAAAATGACGACTTTTTTTTCTCCAGACTTTGCCATAGATAGATACGACATATAGAAAGTGAAATTCCTAGTTTGAAGTATATTTTCGTATAGTTCTAGTAGTTAGAAGTTCTAGAAGACTAATTACATATATTCAAGATTAAAACCAATTCTTTAAATAGCGAACCATGGTCGTTAACACAGCAAATGGTTGGTTGAATATTGTAATTTGCCTAACGCCTTGACAACCCCAACACCCCAACAAAAAAACCTTTACCGCCATATATTGTGCATGCAACTAAACCTGATCAGACCACTAGTATCTTGTATGTAGTTTCAAGGCGTCAGAGTTTCCATCAAGAA